CAGCAAATTCCTTTGTTTCAGCTTCGGTATTACTTGATTCTGTGGTTGACCTATCTTTGTACATCACATTTTCATTGAAAATGACGTCTCTGCTTCTGATGATCTTTCGTAGTCCCAAAACCGGTAACCGAACTCATCACCACCGTAACCAACAAAGACGCATTTGTTGGACTTGGCATCAAGTTTACTTCTTTCAGCAGAGTTTATGTGTACATAAGAAATACAACCAAACACTCTTAAGTGTGAAAGGTTTATTTCTTTCTTGCTCCAAGCTTCCTCTGGTATTCCGCCATCCAAAGGAACTGAGGGCCCACGGTTGATCAGGTAAGCTGCAGTGTTGATAGCTTCAGCCCATAGAAATTTGGGCAATCCGGCATGTATCCTCATGCTTCTGGCACGTTCATTCAGAGTTCTGTTCATGCGCTCTGCTACGCCATTCTGCTGCGGTGTTATGGGAACTGTTGTCTCCATCTTGATCCCATTGTTTGCGCAGAAATCTCTGAAACTACTGTCTCTGTACTCTCCTCCATTGTCAGACCTCAACCGCTTGACTTTCAAACCAGTCTCATTTTCCACCATGGCCTTCCATTTTCTGAAGGTATCAAAGACTTCTGATTTCTTCTTCAGAAAATAAACTCACACCTTCCTTGTTGAATCATCGATGAAGGTGACATAATATAGTGAGCCTGCAAGAGATGGAACAGGGGATGGTCCCCATACATCAGTATGAACCAATTCTAACCTTTCTGCCTTGGGAGTCTTGCCAATCTTTGTAAAACTGACTTTCTTTTGTTTTCTAAAGATGCAATCCTCGCATAGTCCGACATCTACATTCTTTAGATCCGACAGCTTCCCTTTTGACAGAAGTATCTTCATTCCTTTCTCGCTCATATGGCCGAGCCTTTGGTGCCATAGGTTTGATTTTCTATCAGCATCTGCTACTGCAATAATATTCTTTAAATTTGAGGTTACATAGAGAGTATCGGTCTTCTTACCACGAGCAATGATGAGTGCTCCTTTGGTAATCTTCCATTCACAGCCTGAAAAAGTTGTACTATATCCTTCTCCATCAAGCTGCCCAACAGAAATCAGATTTCTTTTGAGGCCAGGAATATGTCTCACTCCTGTCAGCTTCCAGGTGGTCTGGTTTGGCAGCTTTAGTCGGATGTCTCCTTTTTCGACGATCTTCAAGGTTTCATCATCAGCTAGATGAACCTTCCCAAAATCACCACTGACATAGTTCTCCATGATTTCTCGGCATGGGGTGGAGTGGAAAGATGCCCCTGAATCCAAGATCCATGATTCAATCGGACTGTTGACGCTTAAAATCATGGCATCACCTGTCTCCTCCGTCATGTTGGCAGATTCCTGTGCGCCGATATTTTTCTTCGGTGCTCGGCAATCTCTTTTGAAGTGACCCTTTTTGCCGCAATTATAACAGGTAAAATCTTTATTTTCTGTTCTTGATTTGCCCCTTCTAGATTTTGATCTGCCACGATTTGAATTTCTTTCTGAAGTTCTCCCTCTAGACTCCGTGTGTAAGGCTGAGGAGGTTGATGCTTCACCCGATTCTCTTCGTCGAATTTCTTCACTCAATACCAGATCCCGAACATCGTCGAATTTTAATTTGTTGTTTCCCGACGAACTGCTAACTGCTGTAACAGTAGCATTCCAACTGTCTGGTAGAGATGATAAGAGAATTAAAGCTTGAACTTCATCATCGAACTCAATTTCCACTGAACTCAACTGGGTTGTGATTGTGTTGAGTTCATTTAGGTGTTGTGCCACCAATGCCCCTTCCGCCATCCGCAAATTGAATAATCGCATCATCAAATGAACTTTGTTTGAGGCCGATGGCTTGTCGTACATACTGGAGAGAGCCGCCATAAGACCCGCCGTGGTCTTTTCCTTTGCTATGTTAAAGCACATTGCGGGATAACGTCAGTCGGATAACTCCGAGGGCTTGTCTGTCGAGAAGAGCCCAATCTTCATCCTTCATGCCCTCTGGTTGCTTTCCTGAGAGAGGTTGATATAGATTTTTCTGGTACAAAAAATCTTCAATCTGCATCTTCCAAAAGCCAAAGTCCGCACCATCGAACTTTTCAATTTTCACCTTCCCTTCGTCTGCAGCCATCGCTCCCACTCGAATCTGGCTTCGTTTGGATCGTTTCTGACAATTCTTGCAAATCACCGTGTATTAGAACACCACCGTCGACAAACTCGTATCGCCGACCGAATTTCACTATTCACGAAATTCACTATTCACGTGAATAGTAATGAATAGTAACCTCGCAGAAAATTTGACAAAATTCACAACCAAAAGCTCTGATTACCAGTTGTTAGGAAAATAAACCGAGTACAAGTAATTTCCCTATAACCAGATTAGTGAGAATGCGAAATAAAAGCGGAAAAATAATACCCGAAAATTGATAACGGAGTTCAGCCAATTGTGCTTACGTCTCCGGGCTGCTGCAGATCTTTTACTAAGAGAGAAAATTTACAGGTGTTTACAAAACACTCACTACTCACAAGAAAGCTCTCTAGTATAGGAAGAAAGAAATGTTTTGGGATGATTTTGAAGCTAAATGGGTAAGGGTATTTATAGTAGAAACTTAGGGACTAATCTTTGAAAATACCCTAAAGTGCAATGACTAAAGTGAATTTACCCATTCCTATTTTCAACAAACATCTACCAAAATTTTACCAAACTTTGAAAAACATTTTTCAAAGAAACATTTACCAAACTTTGAAAAAACATTTTCCAAAGTTGGTTGCCAAACTTTGAAACTTTTAACAGTGAGGAGGCCATCAACCTCCTCGACACTGCCACAAATATAGCTGATGGATACTCGCTGGTTTGAGTTATTAGAATCTTACGCAAGCGAAGTTGGGAAACGAAAGCCCTCTAGATCCCTGGAGAAGTTAATAAGGTAGCAAATGTTCTTGTCAAACTTGCTCCCTCTCACGATACTATTGATCACGTTCTAGATACTCCTACTCTACCTGTTCGGAGTCTCGTTATAAGAGATACCGAGGACCCTTCAGTCTTACAAGCATGATGTAATCCATGATCCTCTTTCTATTAAAAAAAAATATAGAATCATTATTATTTTTTAAATTTAAAATGCATAATTTAAGGTAAGACGGGTTGTGCCTATATCCTAATTATGTTAGATTTTTTGGATTAACTATGAAATAAATGTTCAAATTATACTACTTTTCTCAAATATGTGTCCAATTTTTTTTTTTGAATCATTCAAGTGTTTAACGTTACTACTTTAGGTGTCTTGACCGTAACATCTGTTAAATTCTACCGTTAAAGAACACATGTCACGTTCTGGTAATTTTAAAAATTCCATTTAGTATTGAAAAAGTTAAAATTATATATTTAAAAAACTCAAAAATTTTGAAACACTTAAAAACCCCAAAACTTTGAAAACTCCAATTTCAACTCCTAAATTCACGCCTACCGCCCTTTTCCATCGACGAAGATCCACTTGATCTCACCTATACCTAATGATCAACACCCTATGAAATCGAGACCAATCAACAATCAATCGACGTGTGTGTCCTGATGAACCTTACGCTGTAAATAGTGACCCCACGCGATCTCGACGATCAATCGACGGCAAGGATGACATAGTATGATTAGGAAGATGACAAGGATGTCATCGGTGGGATCGATAGGTTAGGGTTAGTGATATAGAATTTTTAGGAATATGTTTTTTTGGTAATTTAAGAGAAATTAGGGTTTTTAAAAAGTGTACTAATATTTTTATTTTTTTTAAAAAAATAAATTTTCAAAAAATATCAGAACATGACACGTGTTACTTAACAGAGAAATTTAACGGCAATTACAGTTTTGACACCTAAAGTGGTAACGTTAAGTACCTAGATGATTCAAAAAAAGTTTAAGTACCTATTTGAGAAAAGCGATATATTTTGAAGACTTAAACTTATTTCTTACATCGAGTCTACTGAACTTATGAACACCCTTATTCGACATAAAATATAAAATATTAAAATTTCCTTTTTATGTTTTTATACACATGCTTATTATAATTTTTTTTTGAAAAAAATGTCTACCCGTGATGTAGTTTATTCATATATACACTTAATATTAGACATGATATAACACCCCAAAACCAAGATAAAAAAACTGAAAGGTTTATGAGGAAAAAGAGAATTTTGAGTGCGAAGTACTTAAGGAATAAATTGAAAGGACAAGTTGCAAAGGTTGCGATCAATGACTAAATTGAGTAAAGGATAAAGTTTAAGTACTAAATTTTAAAGGTCCAAAGGGTGTTAAAAGCCCTTTAAGTTTTGAGAAAAAATATTTTATAGGTCTAAGGGTCTATCATATCATCCTTTAATATAGTTAGTGGTAGGGTTATCGTAGAAAATACAATAAGAGTAAATTATGTGTTTAGTTATCCAAGTATCACTTTGGTTCCATTTTAGTCATCGTTAATGTTATGTTTTGATTTTATTTTGATCACCAACTGTTAAAATATTAACATACCTATTGAGATGTCACTTTTTAATGATGATGTGACATACCTTTTAGTAACACGTCAGTATCATTATTACTTTTTAACGTCGAGTGACCTAAATAAAATTAAAACATAATATTAATGATAGTTTAAAAAAAATAATCCAATGACCAAAATAATAGTTAGATGACTAAAGTTTTATAATTTACCCTAAAAATAAAGTATACAAATGCATTGCACATTTGAAAAGTAAAGGGACTACATTGTGAAAGTAACAAAATTACAGGGGTAGTTGGTGAAATTAACCATTTAATTCGAAGTATTCTTCAGTATTTTGTTCATCCAACAGTAAATCCAACAATTTCAGTATATTTTACAAATTTTTTTTTTACTTCGAGTATATGTTGCATGCAAAGGTTCCTCAATCAAGAATCTCAAAAATTAGAATTTCTTCTTTCTCTTACATTTTTTAGAACTGCGGTTGTTTTTTGATTTGGCTGCCAATCCATGAACATTCGCGTGAAGCAAGAGATTCCGGAAACGTTAAGCGCTCAAAGACTTAAACTAAACGGCGAAGTATGGACACAGCCCGACTCGGTCATCGAACTCAGCAGCAGTAGCAGTGTCTCGGACGAGAACAGCAATGCAAGTACAGCCGTTGCAGGGGAAGGCCCGGAAGGTAGAGTCTCGAAGAAGAGGAAGCTGAACGGCGTTGATTTTCTACTTCCTCCGGATGATCCGGCTCGGTTGGACTCCGATACTGCGGTGGCAGAGGCTCCGGTGCTGCTTGGAAAGCCGGACCAGGCGGCGAGTAAGAGTGTTCTGTGCAATCAGTTTTGGAAAGCCGGAGAATATGACGGAGGTCCATCTACTGATTGGGATTTATCTTCAGGTATTTAGTTTATAACATCCTCCTCCAAGTAATTTATTTATATGTTCTAGAATCGAGTAAAAAATCTTGCATGTGAGGGATAGTGTTGGAGTTGAGAAAAAAATTTCAATAATTTCTCATCATTAATCTGGAAATCAGTTTAACAAAAACAGGGAAAGAACTTTAACTTAATTTGTAGTAACTAAAATATAACTAATTGAGCACTTAATTGTTTGAGCTTTGTTTTTCTTTATTTACTTATTTTTTGCAATGCTTCTGCTTTGTTTTTCTTTCGACTTGTAGGTGGTATGGATCATGTAAGGGTTCATCCAAAATTTCTACACTCAAATGCAACGAGTCATAAATGGGCTCTTGGAGGTAGATCTGTCTATATATACCAAAAACAAACATAAACATTCATGTCTATTATTCCAATTGGATGAGAAGAGCCTTTTTCTCTTGTTGATGTGCTCTCATTCTTATCGGTATTTATAAAATATTAATTTTACTTCTGCAGCTTTTGCGGAACTTCTTGACAACTCTTTGGATGAGGTGCTTGATGACATTACTCTTTCAATCATGTAATACTTGCTTTTCTTTTTCCAATTTTGTCTTCATTTTCTGATTTTAGGTCTTCAATGGAGCTACCCATGTTAATGTAGACATGCTTAAAAGTATCAAGGATGTGAATCAAATGTTGCTAATTGAAGGTACTGTGTTTCATATATATATATTTTGTTTGATATGGTTATTCTGGTTTGTCTGTTTTCACTGTTTGCCTTTACATACTGATGCATGTTATTCTGGTTTCATGGTCCTCATGGGACCTATCAGTTCTGTCTGATTTTAATGAGTTAAACCATGAGGTAGAGACTAAAGAATGTTACACGGAGGATTGTCTAGGCAAGTAAAGACATAGTTCTGCATATTTAGTTTTCTCATTTCTACATGTGTCAAGTGCTACATATTTATATGGTCTTCAAGAATCAAGTTGTTCAGTGTTGCGTTGATGACTTGTTAGGTATCAGAAATTTATCCATGTCATTGCAGATAACGGTGGTGGGATGGATCCTGATAAAATGCGTCAGTGCATGTCTCTTGGATATTCAGCAAAAAGCAAAGTAGCGAACACCATTGGACAATGTATTTAGTGATTTCCGCTCTCTTGAAAAAAAGGATACTTCATAGTTGTTTTTTGGCATCCGCATAGAGTATTTTATATTTTTTTATTCATTTTCTACAGATGGTAACGGATTCAAGACTAGTACCATGAGGCTTGGTGCAGACGTTATTGTATTTTCCCGGTGTTGTGGAAAAGATGGAAAACAGTTAGTCCTTCTTAGTTCTTTTTCTGGGCTAGAATAATCATTGTTAATGCAAATATTAGATTCTTTGTAGTAGTGTTCCGCATTCGGAAGTAAATGTTTATTTTATTGGACTATTTGGTAAAATAAGTTTTCTGCAGTCTGCATGTTAAGTAAACATGTACTTTGTTTGCTTGAGAATGTTGTATGGTAGACCAAACAAAGTGATTACACATTTTGTTCATAGTGTTAGAGGTTAATGTTCTCGACTGCGCAAGACAGACTTGTTTTGAATAGTAGAATGGAAATATGCATGTTAAGCTCCTATTGCGAGTTAGCTTCACTGTCTTCAAGGTTGAAGCAGTGATTGAATGCTTTTATATTGAGTAAATATGCATTGTTCTATGAATATTTTGATTTTGAGGGAGAAAATAAAAAGTGATTGAGATAAAGGATATATGTGATTATTATTATTATTTTGATAAGATTATATATGTGATTGTGTTCGCATATTTTCTCTCTGCATGCATATCTTTATTTCATGCTTTTGTTTTTATTTTCAATACACCAGAACGACCTTTTCTTTATGTTTTTGTCACTGCAAATGGTAATAAAATTCTGTGGTTTGTTTTTAGCCCCACACAGAGCATTGGATTGCTATCCTACACATTTTTGACTAGCACAAGAAAGGAAGACATTGTGGTACCCATGGTAATGCCAACTAGATATTAGTATAGTAATTGGATGAATATGCTAATAATCACCATCATAGTTGATATGCTATTACAGAAACTACGCTCTGGTTGTGCCCTTAAATCAAATTGTGTATTGAAATGAACAGCTAGATTATGAATGGAAACAACAAGAATGGAACAAGGTTATACGATCTACCGTCGGTGATTGGTATAGGAATTTGGATACCATAGTGGAGTGGTCTCCATTTTCCAGTGAAGCAGACCTGCTTCATCAGGTAATTCTGATTCTAATGTTGCTTTTCGGTTTGCTCAGTGCATTCTCTAGTCCCATTTCATCTCTTTTTCCATTTTCTGCAAGTTCTCAGTTTAGCACTTGTCAGATAAGCTGGAATCTTCATTATGCTTTGAGCTGTTGTATAATTTGATTCTGGTAAAAAAAAATCCTTTTCCTGCTTTTAGTTCAATCTGATGAAAGATCACGGTACACGGATTATTATATATAATCTCTGGGAGGATGACCAAGGGTTATCGGAACTTGATTTTCTTGGCGATCTTCATGTATGTCTCAGATGTCTTGGATTCTTTTCGATATTTAAAAATTTTATATGTCAAACGGAATATATTGTATTAGTGATGTTAAAACCTTTTATTGGAAAATTGTTGGCAGGATATCCAACTCAGAGGTGTTAACCGAGATGAGAATAATATACAAATGGCCAAACAGTTTCCCAACTCCAGGCACTTTCTGACATATAAACATTCATTGAGGGTAATTGTCATTAATTTTATTTAATAATTATTGTTTTTTAATGGTAAAAAGTAATGCCTGCCTGTCTTTAATTATGCTTTAACTTTGTGTTAGATCATTGGTGCTTTCTTGGTTCAAGCGTGGTGGAGGATCTCTAAAAATCTGGATGCTTTACTTGCTTGTACATGATTTGATGCTTTGCCTGAAGTAGCATGCACAAGCACAGTTTTGCTTCATTTTTTCTTTTAAAATTTGATTTTTGGTTTATTTTTCTGTGTTCACTTTGCAGAGTTATGCATCAATACTTTATCTGAGACTTCCTCCTAACTTCAGAATCATTTTACGCGGCAAAGATGTTGAGCACCACAACATAGTTAATGATATGATGCTTACTGAGACGGTAACATATCGACCAAATCCCAGTGCCGAGGGAGCCCCTAAGGATTTGAATGTAATAAGTACTAAAACTTATCTGTTCTGTTTTACTACAGTCTATGCTTGTCTTACACTGGTTTCTTGCATTTTTATTATCAGCTTTCTGCTTTGGTGATAATTGGTTTTGTGAAAGATGCCAAACATCACATTGATGTTCAGGGTTTCAATGTTTATCACAAGAACCGGCTCATCAAGGTTTGCTGTATATTTGCTCTACATATTCATTTTCCATAGTGTTGAAAAATATTGAACTGCCTAATCTTTAATTCACTTCTCCAGCCCTTTTGGAGGCTTTGGAATTCTACTGGGAGTGAAGGTCGTGGAGTTATAGGTATTGTTTCCACATTGGACACTACTAGTTAGTTTACCGGATTGAAATTGGCTTAATGCCAAAAAAATAACCCTAAAGTTTGACTAATTAGTCATTTCGGAGCATTTTGACCCCAACGTCTCATTTTAGGTCAAAAAAGTTCCTAATATTTTACTAAATAGTCACTTTAACTCTTTTTTTTTTTTTTGAGCATTTTGGTGCCCAATGTTTCATTTTAGGGCAAAAAGACCCCTATTTTGGAGCATCGACCGTTAGGTGACTAACGTTTCCATCCACGGAGGGACATTTCTGCCCCAAAATGAGAGGTTGGGGGCCAAAATGCTCAAAAAAGAATAAAGGTTAAAATGACTATTTAATCAAACATAAGGGCATTTTTGTCAGTATGCCATTACAATTTTAATTCGCTTTATGTTTATGACAGGTGTTTTGGAGGCTAATTTTGTTGAGCCAGCTCATGATAAGCAGGGTTTTGAGCGTACAACAGTTCTTGCCCGACTTGAAGCTCGACTATTACAAATGCAAAAGAATTACTGGTTTGTTGTTCCTTTCTAGTTATACCCTTGGTAACAATTCTGCTTCTGGATCTCAGGACAATTTTCCTTTTTTAAGTCATATCTGATGAATATTGACTGCTTCTTTTTAGGTACACCAATTGTCATAGAATCGGTTACGCCCCACGACGTGATAGGAAGATTATAAATCAGACTTTAGCCAAAAGTATGACACCTTGTCACATATATCCACTCTTGTATTTCATTTAACAATGTACGTGTTTTTGTTAGCTGTGAACTGTAAGCATACTCCCTGATTGATGGATCTCGTTCTTTTTAATCCCGTAGATGCTTTCAATCATGATCCAAAAAAATCTACTAAATTGAATACGAAGAATCCCGGATATGGGAATAGACATGTACTGGCACAGTTGAAGCAAGAGAATTGTGAATTGAAAAAAAGGTGCTTTCCAAACCTATGCATTAGGCGTCATCAGTTCTTCTATGACCCGTCTTTCGACTAAAAGATGTTCTTGTAGATTAGAGAAATACACAGGAGAGCATCAAGGTGGATTGCTTAATGATTTGCAGAAAGAAAGAAGCAGCTGCAAATCACTTGAAATAGAGGTATGATCCATTTTGTATTCTAATACAATGACAATACATAGCTTGTAATGTGTTCTATAATTTGCTGTGATTAGCATTGTTGTAGAAGTCAGACTGGCTGTTGAAATTGATTGAACGATGAACCATGAAACTCAAGATGTACTGATGTCAGGATAACAAGGGTGACAGTTGTAGAAGTCGGACATAACCCTAATTATCCTGACATCAGTACATCTCGAGTTGCTATGTTACACTTTTGATCTTTCTTCTTGTGTCATTTTATTAGCTGACAGCGGCACAGGAAAACATCGACAAACTGAATATTGAACATGAAAGCCTGATTAGCATTTTCTCTGAGGAGAGGGATCGTAGGGACAAGGAGCAGGAAAACTTGAGAAAGCAGCTAAAGGTTATGTCCTCTCCGCCATTTTTCCATTGTTATTGGCATTTTCTCATTCATTAGATTCTTTCTTCCTTGAGTTTTTTCATTCTAGGATTTACTTGATAAAGAAGCTAAAAGTTTAACCATTGTTGCCGGTGCCGCACTGGCCGGAGTGCACCATTTCAGTCCTAAACTGATAGGTTTTCGTTTCTTCCCTGGATGGGACAACTCATAAAAATTTGAGAATGGTTGGCACTGTAGGATGCATCTAATACCATTCAAGAGTTGCTTGACCAAATTATGATGCTGGAGAAGATGAAATCTCCCGAACGTTGATCGCCCGGTATCGTTATTTTCTGGTAACGAAGCACTTTTCTTCTCTTGTCATGCAAACTCTCCCATTTTGTTAACAACCAACCAGAAATGACACATTTAGGGACTGCTTGGTGTGTTCACTTAATGGACACATATTTTGGTTAGTGCTAGCGATGTGTCTGCCTTGTTATCCAAATTCAGCAAGTATTAGATACGAGTATGTATGTCGTACATATAATAGGGAGTTTTAAGTATGTATCATGTTTATGTCAAAAAGTATTGGACATCAATATCGTATGTATAAACATGCCTGATGTTATAAATTATGTAAGATAATGAATCAAAGAAAAGAAAAGAAAAGAAAAGAAATACACAAATTTACATTGGAAAACCATTGACATTAAAAATCATAGTTACAGGAGAAGAAAAATCCATCATATTCGCCAATAATATTACAAGAGATGTAAAAAGCACACAACTCCAGGTAATGATATACAAGTGTACAAACGCTAAACCCTATACAATAAATATGTATCGTATCATTACAAATCCTCAGTTTTAGTTCTTTTTCAAAACTTTTCAAACACACCAAACATAAATCGGATCGCAACCTTCTTCATCTAGATTTGTTTCATGGATTCTCCAAGTATACATACACGCAACTGTACGAACACCAAATTCTATACAATAAACTTATATAGCAACACCATAAATCTTTATTTTCTACCAATTGTAGTTTTTTACCAAGCAAATTGTATTGCGAACTTTTTGAACCGAACCAATTATGATTCGGGTAACCACCTTTTAACATCTGAAGAGGCTTTCAATGCAGCCAAGGTAATTCTCACTTCTTCCCCTTTCGTTCCTATTTTGAATTGTGTTCAAATTCAAGCTTTTCGATCTGGGTATGTTTTGGATGAATCGAATTGATGATGAGTTCTGGTATGTTTGGACATAATCTGATGCCTGGAGGTGTAAATTCTCCCGTGTATGCCTTTAAATCTGTTGGTGGACAACCGATTGTGATTGATTCTGTCAAGGGCTCTCACATGTGGGACATTGATGGTAACCAGTACATCGACTACGTTGGCTCATGGGGACCTTGGCTCATGGGGACCTTCATGCGGATGATGGGGTCAAGTCCTTGACGAATTCCATAAGTTCATATTCATTTTGATATATTGGACGCAATGTCGATGATGATGCATTATCTTAATATTCCGTCAAGTCTAGCTAAAAATTTTGACTCTTGGATAATATTTTATAACCCAAACTTTAAATCTATGAAATAAAATCAAATTGTTCAATTTTTTATTTAAATTTAATTGTAAATATTTATCATGTTATGGTATTAAATGATTTTAATTTAAACTGTTTATATATATATATATTAAAGTACCGACTCGAACTTAAAAATCAATTCATTAGTTATTAAAATTTTCAAGTATTTGAGTCATATTTTATAAGTTAAACTTTATTTTAAGCTTCTTTGAGTCGAGTAAAAAAATCAATTTTTTTAGTCAATTTTTTGCTCATCCCTAGTTATGTCAACTAAAAGTTGTTAGGTTTGCATATATCTGCAGGTGCTTGCTGCCCTGGCCGAAACAATGAAGAAGGGAACCAGCTTTGGTGCTCCTTGTCTTCTTGAGAATGTTTTGGCTGAGATGGTAATCTCAGCTGTTCCTAGCATCGAAATGGTTCGGTTTGTAAACTCAGGAACGGAAGCTTGCATGGGTGTCCTGTGCCTTGCCTTGCCTGTGCCTTCACCGGCCGAGAAAAGAATATCAAATTTGAGGGTTGTTACCATGGCCATGCTGATCCGTTTCTTGTCAAGGCAGGTAGTGGGGTTGCTACCCTAGGACTGCCGGACTCTCCTGGTGTCCGGAAAGCAGCCATTTTCGAAACTCTAGCTGCCCCTTACAACGACATAGAAGCTGTTGAACTTACGGTTATTATTCTTGAACCCGTCGTTGGGAATTCTGGCTTCATGTAACACCCCAATTTAGAGGTTAAATTTAAGAAATTATAAATAGTAGATTTAATTGGTATTTTGAAAGAAATAGTGGATTAAATTGTAAAATTTCAACGTTGATAGACTATTTTAAGAAATGCAAAAAATTCAGTGTCTAAACTCATGATTTGACCATTTTTTTTAGTAGTTAATATAACCCCTTTCCCGTGCATTTTCTGAAGAAAATGCTCATAATTCCTCTCCCGATCACCAACTTTAAACTGTGATCTACTCGTCATCCGATCTTCGATCGACGAGCCGAAACCATCATCGTGTTCGTTGTCGAGCGAGGAACAAAACCCTCAAACCTTTCGTCATGAATCGTCGCCGTTCGTCGTTAATTTCAATCGGAAGTATCGTCGGTAATAACCCAATTTCAGTTGGTTTTTCATCGATTCACGACGATCCGAGCATCCGTTTACGACACCTCCCGCACCATCGTGTTCCTTGCCCCGAGTCTGCCGATGTCATCCTTGGTCTCCGAAGACGGCGGCGCGTGAGGAGGTGAAGCGGTCAAAGTTTCCGATTAATTGAAATCGAGCTCTCCGCCATTCAAAAATTTGAACTGAGCTTTGTAAGTAGCTCGAAATCGCTTAAAATAATTTTTAGGAATTTTTCCATGAATTTAGCACTGTTCACGCGTCCCCACGCACCGCCACTACGCGTGGGGAAGAAAAAATGACCGGTTTGACCGGTTTTGCTCTTGTTTTGACCGGTCATAACCCTACCTGACCCGTTGACTCGACCTGACCCGTTGACCGTTGACCGGCGTTGACCACTGTTGACTAAAACTTTGACTGGCTTTGACCGAGCATTAAACGACCTTTGACTTTGACCGAGTATACCTATCCTGACATTTTTCGACGTTCCAAATCCGATTCCGCAGTCCGTTTTTCGAAATTCAGACAGAAGACCTCGAAATTGGCAGTCAAACCCGTTGACTTTGAGTTTGACCGAAAATTCCAAATTTTCGAAAAGTCATATTTTGTGCTTTCGACGTCCTGAATCCAATCCGTTTCGCCAAATTCAAACCCGGTAAGTTGTTTTTATTTGATTTATCACCCGATTCGATCCGTTTATCGTAATTAAGCTCTGTTTTTTATATAATTTATGTTGATATGTATCTGAGAAATTATTGGAAGTTGAATTGAATATCAAAGGCATTCGAATGAAATTTTTATGGTTGATCAGTATTGCACGAAAATCGAGGTAATACTTTACTACCTCTTTATGCTTTATGGAACATGTTAATATTGGTAAATACATGAATAAGATAATGTTGGTCACTTTTGTGGAGATGGTTAATTTATAAACTCGATATGAATGTGGTAGAAATTCGGTAACTGAATATGGATTGAATGACTAATATAAGAGATTGAAAGATTGTTAGAATTAAATTACAAGTTTGTGATTAGTGATAAAGAAATCAGACATGGATTTGTAAATTATATTTTATATCATCAAAGGTTAAATGTTAAAAGTACTTGGATGGAAAATTATGAGAATATTCATGTATGGTAAAATTACGAAAATACCCTTATGTTGTAGGATGACAAGAATTGTCCCTGGAAGTTGGTTAATAACTCTGAAAAGACATATTGATCCGATATAACTACTGATGTGCATAAGAAATGTTAGTTTTATTTGTAAATTATGGATAACCGGTTTTAATACTAAGAGAGTTTGTGAAGGATAGTAGAAGTCTATTAAGGGAATCATTTCAAGATCAGAGAGTATTCAAGAAAGTAATTAATCATAGGATCTCTAAATTATATTATTTTCGTTAAGAGCTAATATCGAAATCATCTGGTTAAGAAATTATAGAAATGCCCTTGAAAGGTAAAATAGTCCGAGTTAACCCTAAATGAGAAAATACTTTGAGGATTTGTACTTAACTCGATTAAGTACGAATTTGATTGTTAAGATCTTGACTTAGTGCAGGAAAATTCCTAATATTCCGTTTGTAAAATCTGAGAAGGCACTTGACCCGGAAATATCCGAGTTATGAGTAAATACCTGAAGAACAATTTGTCGAGGGTGTTCTGTTTTCATAATTGTTCGAAAGAACTGAAATAAATGATAAGATTGAATTTAATAGTAAGATCAGACGGAAAGAAAGGATTGAAATACACTGTTGTAGAATGACCAAAATACCCCTGTAATGGAAATGACCCAATAATATCACCAAGCTCAAGAATGATTGGATATCCTCGAGCTCTGAAATGAATGGAATAAAACTGAACACTAAAATTATGAAAATACCCTTATGGCCTATACTAAGTAAATGTCTTGGATTAATTAAGGAATCCAAATAAGCATAGGTATTGGACTACCTTTAAAAGTTATGGAACACATCTTAAGTGAGCCGATCAACCTTAATGATATGTCAGTACCTGAACGGCATAGATATTACTTGAATGAGTGTTCGTCTACTCAAGTTTAGCTCAATGATAATTTTGGAAGTATTCAGCTCAACTCAACTCTAGCTCGTATTCAGTAGTAAGAATTTGATATTTGTTAGACAAATCAACCATGAAGACCAAATTGAATTGAACGGAAGTACAATATGTATCCGAAATTCATAAACGTCTGGATTACCCTGGAAAGCCCTAAAATAACTAGAATGGACTTGACTGCTAAATGAATCAAGTAACCTCAAGGACTAAGGATTAAGTAAGTGATTTGGATGAGTCTGGAAATGTTAATGAACATACATGATGTAATTTTCTTATGGATCATGAACTACAAATCAAGCACGTCAACATTTCATGATATAGTGAAAGCGTGAACATGAAATAAAGACATTGGAAGATTTATTTAGCAATGATTCCGAAGATGATATATGGACTAGAAATTATGGTATTAAAGAGTAAATATCCTGGAAGAACGATGAATTGACCAATCGATAAACATTAGTTCTAGGAACTATTCATCTAAGAGTTGTTCGATAATCAGATCAAACAACATATTTTGTATAAAGATTTCTGAACACTTTCCTGATGCACATGAATCATATCGGAATTCTAAAGTATCAACCTTAAATGTCGGATTAGATTGGTTAGCAATCGATTCCCTTTAATAGGACCTCATTTTTAGAATCTGATCAAATTACATCAGTTTCATGTTATTCATTCTGATAACTACTAAGTGTCTTTGAGAAATACTTGGATATCCTAGTGTATTCCATATGTACCACATGACGATTTTATATGTTTTTAAATGAGTTTTACCGAAACTATTGATTTACTGGTTTATGAACCATGACAACATGTTATATGTTTTTCGATTACGGGTTTTATCAAAAAATATGAATTATTCCTGATTTATGACATCATGGAATCTACTGGTTTTATGAACTATGTTTACTTGAAATATGTTATCGGGTTTCATATTTTCATTGGAAAATATGATCTTGATAAATCACGTACTGAATATTTTTATGAGACAATACCCGATGTTCTGAATACATTTTATTTTGATATCCGATTTACCACATATTTTGATATGGTTTCTGGTTACGGTATTTTTGTACATGATTTCTAAATATGGATTAATTATCGTTACAGTTCCCCAGGTCCCTTTGTTGTGTGCAAGGGTAAGCCTTACAGTTTCCCCCAGGTCCCTTTGTTGTGTGCAAGGGTAAGCCTTACAGTTCCCCCAGGTCCCTTTGCTCTGTGCAAGGATAAGCCTTACAGTTCCCACTAGGTCCCTTTGTTGTGTGCAAGGGTAAGCCTTACAGTTTCCCAGGTTCCTTTGCTGTGTGCAAGGGTAAGCCTTACAGTTTTCCCATGCTCTTTTGTTATGTGCAAGTATAAGACCTTATCGTTTTTGCATGCTCCTCTGCTTTGTGCACAGGGTAAATATGTTTTAAACTGCTACTGCTTTAAAAGATATGTATCTTTTCACTGGTTTTACGGGAACACACTAGATAACCTATTCTGATCTCCTGAACTCAGTCATCCGAAATATTTCTCTGAACTGAAAGCTCATTGTCCGTTACCACCTGAAATATCAGTAGGATCTCTGCTCAGCAGAAAAGTCTGTAAATGTTCGGAAACAATAAGGATATATAAATATTTATTTGTATCGCACGTTCATCAGCATCATCTGGTAGTTCTGTATTACTGAGCTTTCCGAAGCTCACTCTATTACTCAACATTGCAGGTTAAAAGAATTGTACCAGTGCAACTATCGTCATCAGTACGGGAGTTCTTCCGGCGTTGATTTCAGAAAATGGTACATGTGATTAGGGGGAATGTAATTGTATTTTGTTTTATATACGAGTCTAGAAATCTGTTTTATTTTTTAAATAGTGACAAATGATTTTATAAGTTTACATGTTCTGATAAAATTTTTTAAATTTTTTGCTATTTTTACAGTGGGTCACTCCGGTGACCTTAATGTGACAACCCAGATCGGATCGAGTTATCCGCATCGGTCTGGGGGTTACACTTCATTCCGCCTAAACCTGACTTCCTTGAAGCCCTACGTCGCCTAACCAAGGAAAATGGTGCTCTCCTCGTATTTGAAAAAGTGATGACCGGATTTCGCTTGTCGTACGGTGGGGCACAGGAGTATTTCGGCATAACTCCAGATTTAACAACACTAGGGAAGATCATTGGTGATGGTCTGCCTGTTGATGCATATGAAGGAGGGAGATCATGGAAATGGTGGAACCTGCAGGGCCTATGTACCAGGCTGGGACCTTGAGTGGTAACCTATTGGCAATGATAGCCGGGATACACACCCTTAAGCGGTTGAAAGAACCAGGAACTAACGAATACTTAGATAAGATCACCGGAGAACTTGTTCAAGGCATTTTAGATGCAGGAAAGAAGACCGGACATGCTATCTGTGGAGGGCATATCAGCGGGATGTTTGGATTTTTCTTCACGGAAGGGCCTGTTCACAACTTCGATGATGCAAAGAAGAGTGATACTGCAAAATTCGCTAGGTTTTATAGGGGAATGCTTGAAGAAGCTCTATACTTAGCACCTTCACAATTCGAAGCCGGATTTACAAGCTTGGCACATTCATCAGAAGACATCCGAAAGACTATTGCAGCCACCGAGAAAGTTCTAAGCAAGATTTAAGGTACTTTGTCCTGCCCTGTTCTTCCTTTCCTATTGCAGTTTTTCGGATGAAGATTTGTAGGCATTTCTTAGAATCTGTATTTCGTACTAATTTGCTAATGTATGAGATAATTATCCGCTTTTAGAACTTGTTTACATCCTCAGCGGTCATTTGCTTTCACTCGAATCTCCTTTGACCATAACTATGAATTTCGCTTAGATGTTCTTATCGAACCACAATGAACGAAAGGTTACCTGCACGAGAAGGCCTTTTATTAGTAATACATAGCATTTATACAGAGACATTTCTTACAATTTCGGGTACTTTTCTTGTTTACATACACTATTAACTTTTCAAATGATTCAAGCTAGTATCGGGAAACAACCCGTAAAGAGACTGAACAAGTCATAGAAAAAACCAATGTACATCATCATCACTCTGCTGTGAATTCGTACACAACTTTGCATTCTACATACAGGAATGCCGGATGTTTATGATTTTCCAACTCTAAGTGTTTGCCTTTATAAAATGGAACATGAGCATACAATCTTTCGGGGTGAATCATCAATCTTCTTTTCTGTTCAGACAAAAAGCCAAGCATAAGTTGATTAGTTAGACATATTAAGTATTAAAAAATGCAGATGTCCACCACTTGAATAAAGTTTCTACTTAAACGGCAAGTAAAGGTACACTAAATTATAATTGTACAGTGTCATTGACTCGCATATTATTGACCTAAATGATGAAATGTAATCCTGGTAACAGATCTTATCGGCACGAAGAATTATGGAATGATGCAGCAATGGCTAGGGGATTTCTTTATTATGAATACAGGCAAAAAGATGGCCTCTGATACGTTCACCATAACTTGGAGCAACATTCTCATTAACCATCAATGTAAATACTCCAAGTTTCGGCTTTTAGCAATCACTGGTAGTCAGTTATGGAGAATACCTGTTCTAGTCTTTGCAAGAGCTGGCTGTATTACAACATGTATTATGACAACTCCACCTGCAACTTCTCCAAAGGGTACTTGACACTGACCAACAGTCTTATTGTTCTCCAAAATTTTACCCAAACTTATCAGCTTCACTTCATTCACCGCCTTTGGAATAATCGTCTTACCTGAGGAAGGGCAACGACAGCATCTAAGATAATTAAAAACGAAATGCTCGAAACTGTTAGCCTTTAAAACTTCCTTCTGGGATTGTTCATAGGTAACAAATGGAGCAAAATCAATGCTGTTCTTTGACGATATTTGCAGTTCAAAAAGAATGAGGATAACATCAATTTTTGAACATTTCAACAACACGCATTTACAGTTTATACAGCTAAATTTAGCCTTCCACTGAATCTACATTCATAAGAACATACTGCAGCTCTTACTAATCATTTTCAAATCGAATTTAAGTACAAACCAATGGCATTAACAACGAAGGTACTCTAATACAGAAAGATTATCGCCTTCTTTCTAAGGCTACCTAAGAACCCAAATTCCACAGAATCATCTAACCTGCATTCAAATGCAAACCCTATAGCTTTGTTCATCAGTCTTCACAATAACCGCATACTATAGAGCAAATCATTCCAAATTTTACCAGAAATCTTCAATAAAACCCAACAGTCATGAGCAATTATAGAAAGAAATGAAAATAATTCAAAAGAGGAAACCTTTGGGCCAATCAGAGACAATCCTCTGCTTAAGCATATCAACCGTGGATGTCGCCGAGTACGGAAACGGACCAATATCCGACCCGTCATAAAGCCTGAACTTTATATCCAACAAATCCTCCGACGGCATTTCCATTCAGTTTCTCTCCTCCGATTAGCCGCCGACCACCGTCTTTAACCGCTTCAATTCTTCCTAGGGGTTCGGGCTGATTGATTGGGAGGCCGCTTTTTCAAGTTTTCTTTTATTCGTATGGATCTTTTGAAAAGATTGGTGTTTGGTGAATCAAAAAAGGAACATCTTGATAAGAGAAATTGCCATCTTCCATAAGCCTCCACCGCTCTACTAAAACGGTGCCGTTTTAGGTTGATCTTTCGTTGTGGGAAGCGGTAGAAGAAACGTCCTTTGCTTACTGCATTGGTACGCCGTCGTATCTGTCCAGGTTCCTTTCTCTCCTCTTTTCTTCTCGAGCTTTTGAATAAGTGAAATAAATTTTACATATTTTGTATATTAAAAAGTTTTATTTTATTTTATATAAACAAATAATGATTTAATTTACAATTTGAATACATTTGTAAAAGAATTGAAAAGGTGTGCGGATGGATATATCCAACATCGGTAGTGTAGACACCCATTTTCGTCTCATTTTTTATATATACTTATATATATAATTTTTGAAAACATTTTTGAAAGCACATATATTATAGTTTTGAAAATATTTTTGAAAACATTTATATATTATATAGTTTTTAAAACATTTTGAAAATAAATATAATATATAGTTTTTAAAACATTTTTGAAAACATATATATTATATAATTTTTGAAAATATATATATATTATAGTTTTTAAAAAAAATATTTTAGAAATTTATATATTATATATGTTTTTGAAAATATTTTTATTTTATTATTTATTATTATTATTTTATTTTATGTTATTTTATTCCTTATTTTTATGCTTTGTTTGTTGTTCAGGATCCAGGTCCAAAAATCCAATGTGCAGGTCCAACAGTAGGGCCTGACCCAGCCCAGGAATAAAGTCCAAAAGATTAGGGTTTCCACGTTAAGTCCAGCGCCGCATCAGATCCTGGACCGTTGGATCTGACCCAATCCAACGGTCAAGGTCAAGGGTTACAGAGGATCGAAAGTCACTGGCCGGCCGAGTATTTCGACGATGTGCAACACCAAAACCGGAACTACTCGGACTGAACCATCCGAGATCACCGAGAACGACCCCGGAATATCCGGGATCGACCCCAAAACAGTCGGAAACGGACCCCCATCGGGGCCTATAAATACAACGGAGAGAACCCCCGAGAAGGGGGAGAACATCGAAAGCCATAGCCACAGTAAACCAAGAACGAACCAAGAGAAACACAATACCCACGACGAACATCACAACACCATCAGCACAACAACATCAACCAACAGTAAGACCGAGGACATCACCAACAAAATAAACAGAACCCACAGTAAAACAAGGAGCCAGCGTCACCGAAACACAACCATCAACCATATACAGTAAACAAAACCGAGAGACTACAAAAGGATCGAAACCACACACACAAAAAACACCAACAACCAAACGCTACGATAAAACCAAGAGAACAAGCAAAACGACGAAACACAAAGACCAAACGCCGAAGAAACCACCGGGAAAGTGAAAGGCCATCAAAGGTAACATTTTCTGGGTAAGAGGTCGTAAGGTTTCTGTGTATGGTTGGTCTGCGTCTGAAAGGAGAGAAGAGGAAGAGGAGAGAACGGCCAGATTAGGGAAATAAGGGAGAGTGATAGCCAAAAGCGCATATAAGGGGTATATAAACCCCCAAAACGACGCCGTTTAGGTGAGTCTAGGGCATCTCTCGGGTCAACGCATGGGTAAACTGTGTTCTAGGTCCCTGTAAGTTGTACCATTTGTATTTTGGTCACTAGAATAATTTTCAACAGCTTCGATTGGGATTTCTAATTTTATTTTGTTTGTATTTTAGTCATTATTCCGAATTTAGGCTTAATTATTGTTTGGCCCTCCTAACTCTTTACTCTTCGTTTTTGCAGCCTTCATTTTTATTTCAATTTAATCCCTTAATTTTGTTTTGTTTCGATTTAACCCTATAAATTTTTATTTGATTTTATTTTAATTGTAATTATTATTTTTTATTATTTAACATTTTTTATTAGTATTTTTTTCTCATTTCCCTTAAATTTATTTTATTATTTTTATTTTTGTTTTTTTTTGTTTTTTATTTATTTAATATTTTTCCTCTTTATTCATTTTTTTCCTCATTTTTTCCTCCTTTTATTTATTATTTTAGTTAATTTTATTATTATTCTTTTATTCATTTTTTAACATATCTATCTCTTTAAGGATCTTCGTTTCATCCGATCAAAGGTAAGTACTTCGAATCGGGTAATTTAAATTTTAATTTAAATTTTTCAATTTTCGCAAAAAGACAACGGCAAATTAATTGGTACCGAAAGGGCAGTTCAAGGGTGCTAATCCTTCCTTGGCCATAACCGACTCCCGAATCCGACATATTTTTGGTACAACGCAGATCAGGTAAGATGGTGTCCGGCCCACCTAAATTCATTTTAAAGTGGTCGGTGGCGACTCCCAATCCATTTTTCACGTCAAAGCCCAATTCCGGGGTCCAACCGAAAGACGGTTACGACAGCTTGGCGACTCCGCTGGGGACAGGTAAGTGAGTCAGGCCAGAATTAATTTTCGGTTGTCTTTTTATGCGAAAATTGTAAATTTAAATTTTAATTTATTTATTCAGTTCCGATTATTTACCTTTGATTATTTTTCAAATAAATAGTTGTACTAACATTTTTTTCAATGATTTCAGATTTTTGAAAAGTTTCTATCTCAGGCTCTATACCCGAGCTCCGAACCCTTTTAAGTGGGGGCGAAAGCGACGCCTTCGTGTGAATTTATTCACCGTATGGGCCTAGCAAGTAACCTTCGGGATTCATATACCTTATGCCTTCGTGTGAATTCATTCTCCGTATGGGCATAAGGGAATGTTTCCTCTCGAGTTTAACTTAGTCCACACAAGCTTATAATGGGCTTAGGACTAAGGGTCTGGCAAGCCCAAGGGGGCACCGACAAGGGGAACTCGAGTACCTTTTTTAGAACCTAAACCGGGAGAGTACAGGGAATTAGAGCCCACCCCGAAACCTCATTCCAAACCCTAGGCTGTTTTATTTCATGCTTTACTTTCTGTTCAAAGCATGCGAACTAGACAAATATGCGGTTAGCATTTGTTTGAAATTAGCATGCGGGATAGAAATCATGTCTGTGTAGGAATATTAAGCATGTTCGGGTATATTATCATGTGGGGTAAGACTTTTCATTTTCATCATTTTTATTATCATCATTATCTCACTAACTTTTTTGTTTCTCTTCCTCCTTTCATTTTTATTCTTTGGCATTTTTTTATCATTCGCATCATTAAAACGAGGTATTGATCCACAAAAAATGTGTTTGTTAAACATGAATAATTTGTATTAATGGATAAAGGGGTTATAATACAAAGAGATAAAAAGCTCAGAAGTCCAGCCGTGGTCAAAGAATACTCAGAAGCAAAGGTTGCAGGGGCAAGACGAGGAAAATGTTGCTGGCCCAGAAACTCCTTTTGAAAACTACGATAACAAGTGGCGGAACCCCATCTAAGCTGCAGACCATTAATTGATGAATTCCAAAAACAAGTCGACAAACTTCGGATGGAAGGCTCCAAAGACACTTTCGTTTGGAACAAGCTCGGTAGAAAGTGAAAGTCGGAGATGCAGTCCTTCGAGATCTTTTTTTTTTTGGGGCAAGCATCTCATTATTTGCACATTTTAGCCAAAGGAGCCGGAATGGTTCGACAGGATATTCAACTAGTGAAAAAGACGAATCAATTTGTCAGAAGCTGTACAGGATTTGTACCATCAAAAAAGGTTTTTTGTCTCTTCAGATGTAACACTTTTGTCACCAATAAGGGTTATTCAGAATAACAGGCACATTTTTTGGATCAATGCCTCGGACATTTCATGCATCATGCATTTAGACATTTTGCATTTCGTTATTTTATTTGCATTTTGTTATTTTCTTTACATTCAAATTAACTAACATATACATATCTCATCAAAAGGAGTAAATACTGGATACACCGTCTCAAGCATTGGACACACCCCATCCACATAACACTCGTTTGAAGAAGAAGAGGATGGAAGCCAGAATTACACAAATCGAGGAGAATATGTTAAAACTACAAAAAAGAGCTAGAAGACAAGATAAACCAGAACAGTCGAAATACTCTAGAAACAATCACAAAGAACCAAGAGTCCTTGGTTGATCAGATCGTTGCCAAGTTAATTGGCCTACAACAGACCAGTGTGCCTGGGGCAGGTTCATCGGAAGGGGTAACTATACAACCTATCCCACAAGTGGTCATCTCACCTGAAATCTTACCAGAACTTCGGGGGGACTCATCGACGGCAAAAGCAAAGCCCTCGTCCTCTGTATTTAACCTTAAGGACAATCCGGGTTATTACCATGTACCGGATTTGGACGAAGAGGACAAAGCAAAGAAGATGGAGGAAAAAATCAAACAATTGGAAGACCAAATGAATATAGTCAAAGGAGACCGTGACTACCATGAAATCGATGCAACGGAACTTAGTCTAGTCCCGGACTTGGTTCTTCCCCCGAAATTTAAGTCCCCAGAGTTCGAGAAGTTTGACGGGAACAGTTGCCCATCCGCTCACATCACCATGTTTTGCCGAAAGATGACAGGATATGGAGGAAATGACCAACTCCTGATCCACTGTTTTCAGGATAGTCTGTCGGGCTCAGCCATTCGGTGGTACAACCAGCTCAGCCGATCAAATATCAAGACCTGGAAGGACCTGGCCAAGTCATTTCTGGAACAATACAAGCATATCAACGACATAAGGCCAGATCGAGTTATGCTACAAAGCATGGAAAAGAAGCATAACGAGAGTTTCAGGCAGTACGCACAAAAATGGAGGGACTTGGCTGTGCAAGTTCATCCACCGTTAGATGAAAAGGAAACCCGAAAACTTTTCGTGCAGACTCTGAAGGCTCCATACTTCGGGCATCTGGTGGCGATCACATCAGGAAGCTTTTCAGACTTGGTTATGGCCGGAGAAATGATTGAGTCGGCCATAAAGCAAGGCAAGATTAAGGATGGGGAAGCCAGTAAGAAGCCTCCTATGAGGGAGAGGGATGGAGAGGTTAACAACATCAAACACTTCAGCAAGGGTGTTACAATCTCCAGCCCAAAATCAACTGCAACGGTACCGTCAGGTACTTCTAAACAA